TTACACCGATCATAATCAATGCCACTCCCTTTTTACTGGCTCACATTCATTAAATTTGTGCAAGAGGAACCAACACTTTCTTTATAGGGGCGATATTCACATCCATTTCCCTTGCCTTGGGCCTAGGCGACAAACTCACAGATTTGCCATCAATACCAGCCTTGTACCTTAACATCAACAACTATCGATTTTATCACTTGACTAAAGCTCAAGAGGATGGTAAATATTATTTGATGGTCATTAATAAAGCGGTTAAGAGTGTCTTCTTCCCTATCTCAATCGAACTAAAGCATAAAATATGGCCAACTAGCTTTATGATTTATATGCCCCTTAGCCTAATGCGCTTGCACAAGGTGCAAAAGGCTACCAAACAAATGATGAGTTCGATGAGATGGAGCAGGGTTCCCCTTAAGCTCACCCGCAACCCACACAGGTTCCTTCTGAACGCGTCGCTGGAACATCATCAAGACACTGAAGAAGACACGAGGACACTTCTGGCACATCTGATGACATTATTTTTGAAATAAGACGGTGTAATGATATGAATACTCAGCTCAACCAAAGAATTTAGGATATTCATACTCAGCAGACTGAGATGATGCGCCTCATCCAGCAGATTCATCAGGATCAGCGTGACTGCAATGACAAGAATGACCAAAGAATGTCAGACATGATCGACCAGATAACAACTTTAATAGTGCGTGCAGACAGCTTACAGGAGTATATTTATCATGTAGGTATGCCACCTCATGAGCTTGGAATTGGTGGTCATTGACGAGCGCGTGACAGAGGTCACCAGTAGCAGATGCCCTAAGTTCTACCTTTCTTTTTCACCTTATTTCGAAAAATTGGTGACAATGTTTAATTTAATTATGGGGGAGAAAGATTTACTTCTTTTGTTTATCGTTTTTGTTTATCATTTTATAGGTAGTTATATTTTTCCCCTTTTGCTCATTTATTGTTAGTGTTAGTCGAGTCGAATTCTTGCGATGTCGAGTCTCTATGCGTGTTTTTCTCCTATTTGTTGATTCCCCCAATTTTCTTGTACCATAACAAAATTTTCTGGTTTGACCTATAAAACGAAACCTTAAAAAGTAAATAGGTTGTTTTATACTTTGGCTATGTTGGATTGATTTGAGAAAGACTCACCAAAATAGATATTGTTTTGACACCCTAAATCCCTATATATTTACGATCAATTTGAATACCTATTATACCGAGACCTTATGATTGAATTTTTTTAGTAGCCCCGAGTAGTTTATACTTGCAGTCAGCACCATCTTAAGCATAAACTACATAAGAAGTTGATGAATATAAGTGGACGATACCAACATTTCTAAGTATATATGCCAATACTTAATATAAATAGGGAATGCACCTATTAAGTTAGGTGACCCTCGCTCGGTCACTTAACCCAATGGTTGTGGAACCTAAAAAAAATTTCATAAAAATCTGTTGTTAGTTGGTTCAGAGGTGTCTGCTGCTGAACTTGGTAGGGAAGACTACGTTTCGATCCCCCATAACTTACAATTGGTTAAATAAAGGGTTTACCGAATTCATGTACCAGACCCCCATTGCTAAAGGATCAGAGTCACTAACCAACTACTCTACTATGTGCATTTAAGGATAAAGGGCTTAATGTGATTGCGCTCAAATGAAAGTGGGTAAAATAAAACGAAAGAAATAGGTTGATCTATAATAGAATGATTCAAATTGTTTTGGATTAAAGAGGGATTTTTATATTGTATTTGCGGTTTTGTGTCACTACTGTATCCTTAGTGTTGAATTCGAGTACCTATAATTCTAACAAAATGTCTCACAACCACATACGATTTAATTTATGTCGTGTATTTGTGTCTAACCCGCTTTTTTAATTGAATTTCATAATGATTATTTTCTTGAGGACAAGAAAAGGTTCAAGTGTAGGGGAGTTGGATAAACTGAAATTTCATCGTATTTTCAACTTGACTAGCAAGGATTATTTTACCGTTTTTATCCATTTATGTCATTTTATACTGGTAGTGTTTATGTATTTCAGGTGTTTTTCCTCCTTGAGGCTTGCATGAGAAAATAAGAGGATTTGGCATAGAAAGAGTAAGAAAACATGAAGGAACAGAAGAAAAGATGGAAATTTGCACACATAAGTCTATGGCCCTCGCCACACATGATTAGTCTGTGGCCCTCGCCACACTTCCAATTGCCACCGCCACAGGTTGTTTTATATCAGGACCATTTTCCTCCCACGTCATAGCCATGATTCCCTCATTCTTCTTATTTCCTCTCCGTAAGACCAGGGTGGCGAGATTATCTCCACGAAGGAAGTTGTTCCTGATATTTCGGGAGCGACTTACGTAAATACATCAAGATATAAAAAGAAGAAGAATTGATAGTTACAGGGTCAAAGAATTTTCCATTGTTCAGAGAATTTTCCTTTATAGTTTCTAAGCAGGAAAAATCACCACTTTAAAGTAATAGCATTCCATATCATGGAGATATTGCAACTTTAGTTTAGATTTATAGTTTTAGTTTCTCTTCAATTGTTTACTTTCGGAAACGAATCCTACCGAAAATTGTGGAGGATCATGAAGAATAATTTTTAAGTTGCAGTAAACTCTTTGTACTAGAGATTTATTCCTAGGTTAGAAATCATGTTCTATTTTATGATAAATTATTGTAATAGCATGTCTATGTTATAAACTATGTCCGACTAGTTCCATGAGATACCAGTATGTAACATAATCTAACCGAAGGGAATAGAAAACCTTTTGGTATTAATATTTATAAAATTCTTTCCTGGTATTTGTTTCTAATTTAATTAATAAAATTGTTTTTGTTACGAGAGTAAAAAACAACAAAGGTTAAAATCAATACAATGAGAGTTTGAGGTTTTGAATCAGATATTAGTAACTGAACATTGATTCTAAATACAACGAGAGCGCTTTATGATCCTCTGACACACAAATATCCAATACTTAAAAGCTCATGGATTCTTGACATAACTTACAACCCAAAACAGCCATACTCTTCTATCAATATGATATTAGAGAGGCTCACAAATAATGAATCTAAAACTCTAACAAAATCACACGTAAGTTAAACCTAAAATTAGGTATACACAACTCTATATATAACATTACTCTGGACTGGGTTGGGCTTCAAAATCTCCGCAGTGAGGCTACACAAAGTCTGCAAAATCTTCTCCAAGAAAATAGATCTTCAATAATTTGTTTCCTAAAATGTCTCCATATTTAGAAATATTTTATATCTTCAAAAACCAACATAGAATCTCTGATTAGTCAATCTTGAATGTCACATAAGATAACTAAATATTCCGTGAATATTCAGTAACTAACATATAAGCTAAAACATAACTTTCAACTCTTGCCAACACAATGTCCTATCCTCCTGGTTGGGACATCCTATTCGACATGTTGAAAACATTATGTTGGAACATCTTGTTCAACATGTTGCTGCCAAGTTGGTTTTACCAAAATGTATGTCAATCATAATTTCAAAGAAATAACAAATATTACTTTTAAAATTTTTAAGAAAAAGTGGGTATTTTTAAGAGTAACAATAGGATAAATCCTAGGAATATGTGGAGTCAATAAAGCATGGATTGGATCAGTGTTTCTAGTGGGAAGCCTGAAAAATATTGAAGTAGATTAGTAAAGATGGCTTGTTATTGAGTTGCAGCATATCTCTGGAGTTGGTTCTTCTAGTTTTTCTCTTTAACATTCTGTAACCCCTTTTGATGCCACATTTTCTGAAGATGCTGGTCAGTAGCATTTATATGTTTTTGTTCATGTGTTAGTTTTTTCCTTGTCGATGGTCTATATGGATGATTTTCATAGTATCATGTTTCATTTAAAATACTAAAAAGATATATGTTTCTCTATTTTTAATTGTTTATTCATTTCTCATATATTCTGATTGGAATATTTTACACCTACACTGTATGTTATCTTTATATGTTTGATTTGGTATATTTCAATTGTTTGACGGTGATTCTCATTATATACTCTTGCATAGTGACAGAAAAAGATACAATGTGTGACTAGATGGAGTATTAATATTAGTGACTATCTAAAATAATTACATGACAACACTATAACTCTGAGTAAGTATAAATATAATATGACATCCGCTTAGTTTTTCAATAATCTTTTTGTGTAAGCAAAACTATAATTTTCATGTCATTTTCACATAACAAGTTGAGTTTTCTTTTAACTCAACTATTTATTACCCAGAACCAATACCTTAATTAATGCACAAATAAAAACAAGAGCTTTATCAGTAAACAACAACAATAATCAAGTTTTTCCACAAGAAAATCCTTATTTAATACTCAAATATGAGCTTAATTAGTACACAATAATAACCAAGCATTTTCCACTAATTTGGAACATAATTAGAACATAAACATGACCTAACTTAGTACACATAAATTAAGACATTTTAGTACACAGACACCGATTAATATATATGAACTAGTTTTGTTTTAACCATCCATCAAGGTAAATTTGGTTGGAGTCAAGGTTTGATTTTGCGTTTTTGGTTCGGGTATCTTTCAACCATCCATCAAGGTAAACTTGGTTGGAGTTATGGTTGGATTTTGCATTTTCAGTTCAGGTATCTTTCAACCATCCATCAAGATAAACTTGGTTGGAGTTAGGGTTGACTTTTACATTTTTTGTTCGGGTATCTTTCAACCATCCATCAAGGTAAACTTGGTTGGAGTCAGGAGTAGATTTTTCTTTCTCAGCTCGGATATCTTTCAGCCAACCGTCAAGGTAAACTTGGTTAGATTCAGAGGTAGATTTATCTTTTTCAGCTCGGATATCTTTCAACCATCCATCAAGGTAAACTTGGTTGGAGTCAGGGTTAGATTTTTCTTTCTCGGTATGAGTGTCTTTCAACCATCCATCAAGATAGACTTGGTTGGAGGTAGAGGTGGACTTAGCTTTCTCACCTCGAGTATCTTTCAACCATCCATCAAGGTAAACCTGGTTAGAGTCAGGGTTGACTTTGGATTTCTCAGTTCTGATATCCTTCAACCATCCATCAAGGTAAACTTGGTTGGAGTCAGGGTTGGCTTTGGCATTCTCGGCCCTGGTATCTTTCAACCATCCATCTAGGTAAACTTGGTTGGAGGCATGGTTGACTTTGGCTTTCTCGACTCTGGTATCTTTCAACCATCCATCAAGGTAAACTTGGTTAGAGTTAGGGTTGACTTTTGTTTTCTCTCCTTTGGTATCCTTCAACCATCCATCAAGGTAAACTTGATTGGAGTTAGGGGAGAGTTTTTGGTTCTTTAGTGGAGTGTTTTTGAGCCAACCATCAAGGTAAGGTTGGTCAACCTGGTTCATATATCTTGCAAAGCTTCCATGGCCATTCTACAATACAATTGAATAAATGGATATTAATGAGTGACAAATTAATTGCATGTTTTGATGGTATATATGATTAGAAAAACACTAGTGTGTTATGAGACACATTTTGTTGTATAATGGAAGATATATTCGTTATGTATATATAGCAGATACATACATAATTTGAAGCATAAAAATAGCACGTAGAATATTTTTAATTTAATTACAACAAAACAATGTAATTTTATAAATCGTATAGAACAACTTGATTCTTAGTATGTTGAATGCATGAAAAACAACTAATGAACAAAATAATTGAAGCATGCATTAAATTCTACATGCTTGTACAATTTCAAATAAAGATGAAAATGATATATTACAAAGATGTTGAATATTTTTAATCTTTTAACATGCATGCACAATTGCAAATAAAGATGAAATAAATTATTATTATGATAAATAAATGATGAAAAATAAAAGTATAAAAGATAGAAGCATGCATGGAAAGTTAGTAACTCACAATCAACAATAGCAGGAGAAAAGGAATGAGAGACAAAATAACTCTACGTGCCATTTATTTTTGTTATGTTATTTTGCTGTGAAATATGCATTCGAATGGAAGTGAGCTGACTTATTTATAGGCAAGTAAAAAAGACAAGTAGTACAAATAACTAGGACATTAGTACTTTGTTTATAAAAATAATTTTTTAAGTTTATAGTGCATTTCTTATGAATATGACTTATGTTTTGGTCATTTTCATGAGTTGTATGAATCTAAAATTTACAACACAAACAACAATGAGTATGAATCTAGGCAATAAGACAAAATAGTCTCACAAGAAACTCTTGAAAATAGTGTGTGGAGTTTGCCTGCTTTAAGAAGTTAATGTGACAACTTAAGCTGACACAATCAATCACTTGTAGGGCTTTGCATTAAATAATTGTAGTTGTCTTTTTAAGAGTCAAAAGAGAAGAAGTTGGAATCCAAAGCAATATTTTTTAATTTAATTTTAAATCATCAAATTTTATTATAAATAAATATTTATAACACAAAAGTTTGAAGTAGTCCTAATAAAAATATGTAGATGAAACATATATTACTAACAAACTCTATAATGGCAGAGAGATTGAAACAAAATGGTGTGCTAATAAAAGTAAATGGATGAAACATATTACTAAAAAATTCAAAGAAACACCCAAATATATGTGACATTTTAAAGTGATTCGTGATAGACTAATACAATCGGTCATTATTATAAATAATAAAAAGAGTTTTTTTGGTTTATTAACCAATTGAGTGAATAGATTCTCTACAATGTACATTTTCTGCAGTGAAATATGAGATATTGATTTAATTATATTTTATTTAACTTGAGAGGAAGTCATTCTAATAAATGGTGAAGATGTGAACTGGATTTGGTCCAGTGAAAAGTCCACAGAAGAGAATCCTCCCCCACTAATTCATGTATTTGATCATTGTTATATATTAGATATATAATTGTTTCTTTTCTAATCGTTTTATTTTATTCTTGAATTCTCATAAAAAATAATATCTAAATTTTAGAATTCAAAATTTTCAAATATACTATCTAAATTTAAGAATTCAAATATTTAAGAACACTTTCGAAATCTTTTTCTTTTTAACTTTTTTTTATGTTGATAGTTTTTGAATTCTTCAATCTGAATTAAATTTGAAATCTATAATTTTAATACAGAAAACATTTTTCATAATTATTTTATAATGGAGATTAAAATATAATCATTAATTGAAGAAAATAAAGGAAAATTCTCTTCAAATAGTTTTTGGTAATAATAAAAAAATATGTCTTTTGTTTATTCTGAGTTATAAAATTTAATTTAATTTGGATTATAAAATTTAAAGTTTATAATTTATTTAAGTTGATAATTTTTGGATTCTTCAATCTGAAATAATTTGAAGTCTATAATTTTAATAAAGAGAACAATTTTCATAATTATTTTTATAATGGAGATTAAAATATAATCATTAACTGAAGAAAATATAGTAAAATTCTCTTCAAATATTTTTTGGTAATATCACCATATATTTTTAACCAGTAAATCAATTATAATAAGTAATTTATTTATATTTTTTTCATATAATTTTTTTTTACATGATTTTCAACCTTCACAAACTTATTTCAATCCAAAAACAACCCAACCATACCTGGATAATTTCATGTGTAGCAGAAATTGTTCCCTCTAAACTTCATCATTTCACACGCTTGAGCATTCCATTTGATTCTATATAAATAGAGGATCATCCCTCATTCATTTTCTCAAGCTTAGAGAGTCAGAATCACCCTGTCAAACTTCATTTTGAATTCAATTTTCTGCAACTTCAAATTTCCTCTTACAGCCTTTTTCAATCATTTTTCTTTGTCAATTCACCTTCCTTCATCCTCACTGAAGTTATAAGAAGAAGAATTAAGCTCTAAAACTCCATGAATCGTGCTAGCCAAGTCCAGTTTCAGAGCTCTGCAACTTAACTTCAATAGGTAGATTCCTTCACCAATTCTCTCAAACTTTGATACTATTGCGATGCTCTCATCATCCTGGTTCTAGTTGCAACACTTGTTTTTAACTGGAAGCACATTTTGACCATGAAATTTCAAATACCTTTTCAAAACTTCTTTTCCAAATTGCTTGAGCTACAATTTATATAATTTTTTTGCGAAGGTGTAGTTGTCTTCGTCTTGATGAGATGAAGCGAATGGTACCGGTCTCGAGCTCTAATTTTACAGTTTGAGTGACCTGGTTTTGAGACTGGCTGGAGGTTGAAGATGACAAACATGTCATCCTTCAACCAATGAAACAACGCCATTTAGATTACTTGAATTTCAAATTTTATAATTGATTTAGTGCTTTATTCAGTAATGACCATGATATGCACATCGCGCCACATCCCTTGGATTTGATTACTAACGCGTTTTGATTCTCATCTAATGGTCCACATATTTTTTACTTTAATTTTTATTTCTGATTTTTATATTTAATTGTTTTAAATTTCAAAAATTCATAGAAAATTCATTTAAACGCCAAAAAATCTGAAATAAATTATGGAAAATATTTTTGATTTTTCTCTTTCTGATTTTTTTTCTTCATAATTTTATTTTGTGTTTTGATAATTTTTATACTTTTTCACTTTATTTTAATAGTTTTAAATGTTTTAAAATACATTTATTCATTTTTAAATTCTAAAAAAAATAGGGAAGGATACAATGATATTTTGATAAATATTGGTGACCTCATTTATTTTTTATTTCCGACTTTACTGTTATTCTTTATTTTTGGGTTATTTTGTCTATCTCTTTTAATTTTAAAAATAGTTTTTGACTTTAAAAAATTACCAAAAATTTCATAAAAATATTTGAGTTCATTTCTGATTTTTCTATGGTCTTATTTAATTTTTCCGGATTAATTTGAACATAGTTTCTATTCTTATCTCTTATTTTCATTTTTAATCATTTTAAAAAATCCTTTTCTTTTATTTTAAATACAATTTTATTTCTATATATATTCTGGCTGATCTTGGACTGAAATTTTTATCATGAACTTTATTAACATCATTGAATGCATGGTGTTGAGTTTAACTCTATAAAAATGGATGAATGATTTTAATAATAGTTTGATTAAATATTTGATTCAAATGTGGTTTATTCATTTCCTCTTCCCTCTTCATCTTATCACATTCTTATTGTACTAAATGTCTCAAAACATGAGGTGCATAGATTGTTATTGACCGCCCGCAAAATAGGTGTAGCTTCTATATAATTCCACTTACGATTACTTAACATAGCGCTAAATTTGGTCCCGATTTAAGAAAATGATCAATCGTGTCCAAAACCTATGGTTGCAAGCCCAAGTATGTTAATTTGAACCCTTTGATCCAATAACCTTGAGATCCATTGTTATGAGGCTTTGGTTCTACCAATCCTCTAATGGAACTTCATCAATTTTGGTTAAACTGGATCACTTAAACATTATTGATCATTAAGTGTTATTTTTAGAATTCTTAAATGGATGATATACTTGACAAAAAGAAAATGCAACTTGTTGTTGAGAGGCTTTAGTTCTACCAATCCTCTAATGATTTCTAAATGCAAGTTTCAAGATGGTCATCAAACTAACCACTAATTCCTAACAATTGACTTTATTTTCATGCTTTTATTTTATGTTTTTACTTTATGTACCATTTACTTTAGCGTTTACATTTCATGCTCTTTTCATCTTTTTTAACTTGAGCTTTTCATTTCCTTTTGAAGATACCTAATAATCAACTTAAACCCTAAAAAACTTTAATGTTATTTGGACTAATTGGTTATATGGACTTCTTGGACTTAGGATTAGAAGTTATGGCCTACCTTGAGACCTTGATTGTTATTTTGTCTGGAGTTTTTTGGGGTTTACACCAAGACATTGGGGTGTTTTTTTTGTTTTGTGTGTATGTTATTATGGTTACATGCTTTTTCTGTAATCTGGAATTCATCTGTGTACAGCTATTACTCAGCCCAATTTTTTCTATGAAGACTTAATGAAAATTGAAGCTTGGTATTCTTAAGAGGTTTATTAATTGTTTGCTTGGTTTCAAATCCAAAGGGTGGAATTCTACATTGACTCATTATGTCAAGTGTTGGCTTCTTGTGTGGTTAAATGTTCTTTCTCCTTAGCTTTTACCTTATGCTTTAGGATAGTCTCTTTATCTCCTCCCATCTTCTTTAATTTCAAAAATATTCTCCCTCCTTTTGAAAAATCTTCTTGTTTTATTTTTAAAAACTTGAACACTTTCATAATAAACTTGGACTTATGTCCACGTATTTTCAAAAATTATTTCTTAATCAAATTTCAATCAACTTAACAATACCTTGACATTTTTTGTGACAAGA